CCCCGACTCATAGAGACCCCTCCTTGGGTTTCCGAGGCAGTATCACTACGGAAGTAGGAATGCCCAACTTTCCTTCCAAGGAGTGGCTGGTGGGTTTGAACCGCTAGCCTTCTGGTTAGCAGTCAAGTGCCTTAGCCACTATGCTACCAGAGCTCCTGTGATGATCAGAGGATATTCAAATTTTATTACATGCTTGGTGAAAAATTAAAGAACATATTGTTTGGTGTTGTTATTCAAAGTTTTGGAGGAAGGAGAATAGAACCACATTCATCTATTTTCATGGAAGGTATATATTGGAGTTCTGCAGGTATGATTTGGCCTCTGTGTCTAAAAACTTGGGAAAGTCTACACTGGGAAATAAAAAAAGTCCATATTTCTGTTTAAGAAGATGGAACCTCTGGCTACTGTACACCTGTATTCCTATACCTCCCATACCAAAAAGCAGGCTGGGGTTGGGGAATGTCTGGTCTGTACACATGCTCTACAATTTGCAAGCCCCTATTACTCTTGGTATTCACACTGCTTCTTTTACTCCTCTCCACCTCAGCATTGAGAATGCATAAATTTACGCAGTTTGTGAAACGGATGCAGCTTTTCAAATAAGAAATCTTTTTGTTAAAAGGGGGCAAAACCCCAATGGCTGTTTTTGCGTCCCAATAGTCCTAAATTTTGCCCCCTTTCCGCGGTTCTCAATGATCTGACCCTCTTCTACTTTTTCAGAACCGCCAAAAGCAGAGAAGAAACAAAGGATGCGCACTGTAGTCTCAGCTCCACCCTAAGTCATTTGTGTGACCTTGGCCGAGTCGTTAAGTTCTTTTAACCAAAGGAAATGACCTGTAAAACGAACTTAATACCACTCTGGATACCTCACACGCATGTTGCTTTGTACACTTGAGATTTTAAAGTGCGCCTAAGTAATTTGAAACCGCAAAAGGCTTCCCAGCACAAGCGTCTGAGTGCAATGACACCGTGGCTTTAAAACTCGGGTTAGTAGAATCCACTCCAGTTCCATGCTGCTCCCACTTCCCCTGCTCAGGGTGGGCGAGAGAGGAAGAGTCTCAGGGCAGGACGTCTAGAAAATTGGCTAGGAGTGAAGTGACAAAAGTTCCTTGGAGGAAGTTAAGTTGTTGGCGGCATTTTTAAGCCCAACAGTGACATACCAATTCCCAGCTGAGATGACAGATCTTGCCGCGTCCCTAGCGCAGGATCCAGCCCCAAAGGCCTAACCCGGCCCTTCCCCGCCCAGACCTGGGACCCTGGACCTCGCCCTTGTCCCCAACCCCCACAACTACCTCCCCCGCTCTCTTCCACGTGACAAGAGCCGGAACCGTCATTTCCGGCGGCACGGGCAGCGCGCCTGCGCGGGGGCCCGGCCTCTGTGAGCCGTTGGCAGTACCGCCGCGCTGCCAACGGCCGCGAGTGGCGGGCGGCACGGGTCGGCTTCGAGCGGCGGCCGTGCGGCTGGCTGCGGTCCTGAGGGTGTGCGGCCGAGAGGTGCAGCCTAGCCCTGGTGGGGGACGGCCGACCCGCCCCCTTCACCGTGTCCCTCCCTCTTTCCCTCCTCCTGGGCCAGAGCTCCCGGGAGGGCACTGGGGGCACTTGCGGAGGCGGCGGCGTCGCCCCCGTATTCAGGCCCGCCCCCTCGCGCCCCGCCCCGTCCCCGCCCTCCGCCACCCTCTGCGGGAGCCGGGGATCTGCAGCGGAGCCGCGGAGCCGGCGGCGAGGCTGGTGCTGTGCGCTCGTGGCGTGCGGAATGTGAGGCTTCGCGGGCCGCATCGCGCACGGACTCTCGGACGGGCGAGGAGCGGCGACCCCTCGCGGACGTTCGGCCGCGTGCCGGGTTGGAGACCAGCCTTCTCTCTCGTCCTTGCGCGCGCCCCGCGCCCTCCAGCACACCGGCAGGACCATGAAGAAGTTCTCTCGGATGCCCAAGTCCGAGGGCGGCGGAGCGTCGGGTGGCGGGGCCGGCGGGGCCGGAGCCAGCTCCAGCTCCGGCGGCTCGTCTGTGGGGGTCCGGGTGTTCGCAGTTGGGCGCTACCAGGTCACCCTGGAGGAATCACTGGCCGAAGGTATGGGCGCCTGGGAAACCTCGGTTAGGCAGGTGAAGGAGGACTGGGGTGTGGCGGTGGCTTCGCACGGCTCTGGCTTGCTTCTCTCCTTGTCTGTTTGGTTCGGCTCACTCTTCCTCCCCTTTCTGCCTCCTCTGGCCAGGGGGGGCTCTTAAGTCGCTTGGGCTTTCGTTCTTAAGCCGGCTTTTCTCGCGGTTGGCAGTTCTGATCAGTTCACAGTTTTCTCATTAGGAGTTTAAGTCATCTTCTATCTTTTTTTGACTGGAGTAAATAAATAGAAAACGTTCTAGCAAGTGATGTGGTATCATGATTGGATCAGTGACTCATTAGCGGGTCAGATCGAGCAGGATTGAAGCTGTGCTCTGCCAGCTGTGGCTCAGGCTGGTGTCATGCGTTGGCCTCTTCATCCAGACTCTCCACCCGCTCTTCAGGGCATAGGACCCTGCAGCCTCTGGTGTCGAGTCTGAGTTTGCTCCTGCTCAGTCATCGTTCGATAAGCAGAGTGTGTGTGTGTGTGTGTGTGTGTGTGTTGTGGAGGTGATACTTTGTCCCAAATTAAGTTAGTAATTTGCTTTTGGGTAGCAGGTAAATTTGAAGCCCATTTATCCTTCTTAGTCAGAATTTTCTCTATCAGACAAGGTGGTATTCACGTCCTTCCAGTAAGTCATTTTGGTAGTAGTTTAAAACGTGTTTTGAAAGCTGGTTAATTTCATTTGCGAAGTTGAAGTTTCATGGTTTGACCTTCATTATTTGTCACAGGTTGTGACAGCAAGTACAAGTCTGCTTACAAAAAGTTCACTCCATGTATAACTGGCTCGTAGAAAATACCTTCTCTTGTTAACTACCTATGCTGCATTGACTTTTGAGAGTTTTATTGCAAAGTGATATTAAAAATAAATACTTCAAAAAGATCACGAATAATTTATTTTCATAAATGGTCCTTTTAAAGTCAAAAGTTAAGAAAAAAAGAGTAGTTTTGGTTGGCGGGGATTTAGAGGTTGATGTGGTTTGAAAAAGCCAGACCTAGTGGCGCAGACGTTAAAGCACCAAGCTGCCAACCAAAAGGTCGGTGTCCGAACTCACCAGCCTCTCCGCGGGAGAAGGATGCGACATTCTGCTTCTGTGAAAATTTACAGCCTTGGAAACCCTCTGGGGAGTTTACTCTGCCTTATAGGGTCGCTGTGAGTCAGAATGGACGGCAGTGAGTTTGGTTTTGGTTTGGTGGTTTGAAAACGCTGGATTCAGATACCGGTTGTGTTTTTTGAAATGTCATAAACAATAGCAAGAGAAAAACCTGAAGATTTTTGTCTATAAAATATTCTGAGAGAAAGAAATCTTGCATCAGTCAGGGATCCATGCTATAGTTTGGCAAGTTGTTGTCTACAATAACAAGTTTACCTAAACCTTAGAGAAATGGGAAAAGGAAGAGCCTTAGCTTCTCAAAAGAATGAATATATGGTGATTGGTCAGGACATTCAGATATATGGTGCTGTAAAATTTCCTAGCTTTGTATATTATACATGAATTTCAAGTGGTTTAGATTGGGTTGTAGGTTTTAAGAAGACATTGTTACTAACAAAAACGTTGTACTTGTGTGTTTCAATTTTTAGTAATAATTGAAGTGTAGCTTGAGTAGTGGTACTCTTACTCAATTTACTAAATCCCAGGTGTATGTTTTATTCAATAGAAAGAGAATATTGACATTTCAATCGAACTGAATTTGAATTTGTAGCTTTACAAAGTCACGCATGCATATCCTATCACTACTCTGAGCAAGTCATTTCCATAAGAAAGAAGTAATTTTGGAAAATAAAAACAAAAATGAACTATTTAAATGGAGTCCTTATCACAAAAAATAACTTCTCACTGTTAGAATGTTCCACTGACTTTTGTCATAAATTTGTCATTCTTTTAGGAAAATAATCAGTAATCAAATGTTAACTATAGATGATGACAGGAAACCAAATATGTTTTTAAGACTATGGATGGAGGAACAAGAAGACAGGATTAAAACAAGAGAGGAAACAAAGGTTGAAGAAAACTTTTTGTAAGAAGGAACTCTCCAGCCCTCCAACTGAACAACTGAACTAGGCGTGCAGCCTTCACTGGAGGGAAAACCAATGACTAGACTTCCTTACCTTGAACCATTCTCCTCTCTCCAGCACACACAGTATTGAAATTATCAGTATTTGGTTTTACTTTTTGATCCTGATAGGTTTATTCTGATTTCAGATGCTTTGTATCTACTCTCCCTCTCAAGTAATGCCACAGTTTAGAACAAGGTGCTTAATCACAAGTCTAATTCACATTAAAGCATGATCACCCAGTAATTGACAAATACATTTGCCTGATTATAAGATTGGAGCACGTGCTTGTGAAAAGGCATTAGAGTTTAAAGTACAGGCAGTTCCAGCAGTTTTTGGGTAACAAATGAGATCAGTTCTTAAGTGTGTCTTCAAGAGTTTGTAGGTTAGTCAGAACAGGTGCACTGGTTCTTTCTTAACTTTTGTGCGATAGAAGACTTGAAGCCTTTTCAATGATTGAAAAGTTGCAAGTGTTGCTAGGAAAGGTGATTGCGATGAAGGATTTGTTGGGAATAGGGTTGGTTCTGTCCTTCCAAAGTGAGGGCAGATTCACATAACATTAAAAGGCAAGTAGGAGTTGTCCAAGTCTTAACCTGGGGAATGCTTATATCTGATCTGGGGAGAGGGGTTTTACTGAGTTAGAAAAGGGATGGAAGCTAAGACAGACCAAAAAACAAACTTGGTAGATTTTACATTGCTTTGGCTCAGTGTTTAACTAGGTCCAGGGCCTGCAGAAGCTGTACCCTGAGGTGTTTTTGCCACGGTACTGAAACATAGGCAGCTTTCTCAGTGCCTTGATAAACCAGTCTCTGCCCATCCCCTAAATGTATATATTATATGTACATATACACACACACATATATGTATGTATGTGCGTATATATATATATATGTATATCTATATGTGTATATGAAGAAAGAGGTATTTGTATATGTTTACATATATTTTGAAATAAAAATATTTTCAGGAGTATACTTATGCTTTATAATCAAACTGTTATAGTAGTTTCCTTCCTGAAATATTTTTTTATTTCATTATAATCTCTTCCTAGCCAAGCATTTATATGCTTGTAAATGTCACATGTCTCAGTGCTAACAACTTACACTTTGTTAGTTCCTCCTCAAAGTTTAGAGGACTGATAGCATAATGAGGCATTTCCTTTTTTTTTTCCCCCCTCAAAATGGTTGTTTCTGGAGTGTATGCTAAGCAAATCCCACCGTTGTTGTTGTTGTTGTTGTTGTTACGTGCCATCGAATCAGACCCGACTCATAGCGATCCCTCTTTGGGTTGCTGAGGCAGTATCACTACGGAAGTACATTGCCTAACCTTCCTTCCAAGGAATGGCTGGCGGGTTTGAACCGCCAGCCTTCTGGTTAGCAGTCAAGTGCCTTAGGCATGAAGTGGAGCCATATGTAAATACCAGTTTAGAGATAGTGTCAAATTGTGAAGCACCTACAATTCATTGTAACCTTCTGTCTTAATTTGCTAGTGTTGCTGTAACAGAAATACCACCAGAGGGTGGCTTTACAGAACAGTTTAGGAGGCTAGAAGTCTGAATTCAGGGCACTGGCCCAAGGCAGAAGGTTGGACACTCTGGGGAGAAAATCTTTGTCTCTTTTAGCTTCTGTTCCTTGGAGATCTCTTTATGGCATCTTGTCTTTTTCCCATTTGTAGCACAGGGATGAAAGTCTTTGACTGCTAACCAAAAGGTTGGAGGCTTGAACCAACTAGCCACTCTTCTAGAGAAAGTTGAGGCAGTCTGCTTCTGTAAAGATTTACAGTCTTAGAAATCATATGGGGCATTTCTACCCTATTATAAAGGTTTACTGTGAGTTGGGATCGACCTGGTGACAAGGGGTCATCCTTGTGTTTAACTTAGTCTTTTTATATCTCAAAAGTGGTTAGGTTTAAGACACACCCTACACTTATATGATCTCATTAACGGAACAAAGAAAACCCATTCCCAGATGAAATTACATCCAGGAGTATAGGGGTTAGGATGCTAACACAGTTTTGGGGGACACAATTTAACCCATAACATCTTCCAAATACTTATTAAAACATAGAACTGGCAGTTTGATCACATGCATCACCATAACAAGTTTCTAGTGCAAACAAAGAATGTAATAGTGATTGATAATGGGCAGAATTTGGTTCTTGAACAGGTTTTTTTTTTTTTTTTAAAGAAAAAACAAACTGACTTAAGTAAATGGAGATGTAAGACTGGGAAAACAGAGATAACTTGTTGAGATAATTTATTAATAAGTTATAGGCTAGATGGGTATGATAAAGTGAATATGATACTCAATAAGACTGACAAATGGGCATGGTGGGCTGTTGGCACTGTGAGTTATTGGAGGTTAGGGAGTTTACTATAGGGTTCTGTAAAAGTTCTCTGGGTTAGTTTCTTGGTTAGATTAGGATGAAAGAATTTAGGCTAAGCATTAATACTAATTGTTAATTTTAAACAGAGTAAAATAATCTTCTTTTGCATATAAATCAGTGGGAAAATGAGCATGCTTTGAAGAAATCCTCTCTGGCTATGCAGTAACTTCTCTGTTAAACTTCCCTAGAGGGGACAGAGTTTTAGAGAAGTGGAGGGTTTGACAAAAATACCAGAAAACTGTTACTACTATGCAATAATTTACTAAATGCCTTCTGTGTGCCAGGCACTGTATTAGGTGCTACTTATACCGATGGGGACAAAAGTTATGTTTCTGGCCGCATGGAGCTTATTTGTGGAAGGCAAACATTAAACAAACAAATACCAGCAAGTTAATGTAGTTAACCATTTTGGTAAGTGTTATAAGGAGAAAGTACAGTAGCTCATGAAAATGAGTAACTGATTGAGTTCCATTTAGGGGATCAAAGAAGACTTTTTAAATGATAATTTAGCAGAAAGCTGGAAGATGAAAA